TGAGCACTGAAACTACCTGAAACATTTGGAAATCTAAATTACAAGTTTACAGGAGGAAAGAGAGGGAGTTACATCCTTAGGAAGCGCACAGATGTGCAGAGAATCAAAAAATACACACACAAGACTGAATTATGATTCCTAATAATAGCAAGCTCTATCTGAAAGTATCTGCAAACAGGCAGCTATATGTCTTTTCCCTGCATTATTCACTAGTGGAATGTTTTAGTTTGCAGCCACTCATCAAGAGAACAGAACTGTATGAAGACAGTGACTCTACTCCTGCAAGTTTTGGCATGCGGAATCAGGGCCTCAAGGTGCCATATACACATATAATGTTTATTTTCTTAAGTACTGATATTACAAGAATAATTAATCAGCACGTTACCTTCTTCAGTCATATATTTTACCAGCTCCTCTTTAGTAAGATATCCACGTTTATTCTCATCTAAAGCCTAAAAAAAGAAAGAAAGAAAGAAAACTGTTGCGGTTTTAACCATACAGAATCAAGAATCAGCAAATTCTTTCCAGCAATTAGGTAGTTCAGTCTTTTAATTACGGACCTCAAATGCACGTAGAAGAACATCTTCTGGAATAGGCCGGTATCTGAAAACATTGAATCAGAAAAGTTAGTGTCACTGTTTGCAAGGCTGCTCCACTATTTTGCAAGAATAAAACATAAGGATTAAAGGAAAGGGAAAATTCTATAAGAATTTAGTAAGATTGTCTATCTAACAGTTCATTCCAGCTTGACTTTTTGGAAGTGCCCATATCTTTACCTGTTATGTCTTTTGTTGTATTCCTGCTTCATTTTCCTTGTGCTGAAGAGCCAGGGGAGTGGCTTCTGCACGTCTGGGCTAGCTGAGTGGGCTCATAAGAATCAATACTAGCTGAATCATTCCACAAAGCCAATACACTGAACAGAAGATCGCCAAACCAAGAAAACAAAGTTTTGTCCAGGTAGGCTGGTAACTAGGCAACAGATCACCTAGTGGGACTTTGAAGGGCTAATGAGCTGAAGATGAGCAAAGGAAGCTGGTAGTTAGAACAGAAAAGGTCTGTCCCTAACAATTTCAGAGAGAGAGCAGAACTGACTACATACATGTACATGTGCACGTGTGTGTGACTGATTCCACAGCTGGAAAAGGAAGCCATGTATAGCAACGAAGACCCTCCATATCCTAGCAGACTCTCACCAAATCCCAAAAATACTCATGAGAAGTGAAGGTGTTTAGGCCAGGGAAGTTTTAAATGCTTGATTGTTTTGTCCAGACCCGCCTCACTCTTTCACTATCTCAAGATCAAATGTGCTAGAAAGAATCCATGTTTTCTGTGATACAAATGTCATGTGCCCTTAGATAATTAAAGTATAGACATATTGCCCCAAAAGATAAAGTAAGTCTTGACATGCTTGCAGTAGCCTGAAGAAAGTGTGCGTGTGTGTGTGGTGTGTGTGTGTGTGTGTGTGTGTGTGCGCGCGCGCGCGCGTGCATGTGTTTGTGCAGATGGGGGGATAGAGAGGGAGGAGAGAGCCTGGAGCAGCAACGTATCACTTTGTGAAGGGTGAACATCAGTGTGGAGCAGGGAATGGGCCAGAAAGGCCAGAGAAAGCAAGGGTGCTGGAGCCTGGGAAGGCAAGGTGCCTGCTCTGGCACACCGGGACCCAAAACCTGCTGGCTGCTCTACGTCCAGGCAAGCGAGCAAAGAACCTCAAACACAGCCCCAAGCTGTGCCCACGGCCCCTGGACCTTACGGGACACTTTTTGGCCACCCCATAGTTATTTCATGCGTAGCTCTCTTACTGAAGCCAGTTGGACTTTTGTCTGCAAAATAACTTACCAGTGTTGCACAAGACTGAGTTTTCCAAAACCCTGGGTTACAATCATTAAAAAGAAAGATAAATTTCCTACAGGTAGCACTGCTTTTAGTGCAAAATATCACAAGTTCCTGTGTACTTTCAAAGATTTCTAGGTACCTCTGCATAACGCAGAGCCTTCTTGTTCCAGACTTTTAGATCAGTAGTCTTTTAGAGTGCTGTGTACATTCAATTGTACCAGGCAGTTATTTTGAGACATAAATATGAATCTGATTTATACATATGGAAAATACACTGTAACAGACTGTGCTTCTCAGTAACTGGAACTTATGTGTGCAGAAAAAGTAATGGTTATGACCTTAATTTGCATCTAAAATGTTTTCAGAGACGCACAAAACATGCTGAGTAGCAAGTTCATTCTGATTCATATTAAAAATACAGAAGCTACACATTACCACAATTCATGACTATAAGATGGCATCACTTATGCCATCACCCGAGTATAATTTACGTCGACTAAATCATTTTGAACTAAAACCTCACTATCAATCTAAGGTATACTGAGTTTAAAAAATAAAAATAAAATCTGTACTCCTTCCAGTTCCATAACATTACTGCAGATATATTCTTCTGGAATCAGTCCTGTCAACATGGAATAAAATTCCACTTTCCATTACCTTTTGTCAAGGAGTACTTTTTTCATCACTGGAAGAAATTTTTCCAAATGAACGTATCCAGTCGGTTCTTCTTCTTCTACCTAAAAATAAAACTTAGGGATGGTAGGTTAGATGGTTCATTAGCAAACTAATAGGAAAAACAGACAATTTTGATGGGTCCTGCATTAAAATTACAGCTAGGCTTGGCATATTCTTATCAGGTTCTTAATACCACTTGGCACCAAAACATCGGAGTTGAATGCTTCTGGTCAAATAGAAAGAAATTAGAGAAAGAAATTATTTCAACAACTCGATATTGCCCTCTTGTGGTTAGAAATCATTCATACAAGAAGATTTGCACAGTAACTGCTCTAACCTTCCACAGTAATTCAATAAAGTATGCAGATGGCCTTTAGCTAGGAAAGTCTAGCATGACCTGGAACATCCCCAAGCAGTGCAATGTGATCACCCATAACAGCAAACTGTTAGCACATTCCTTGGCATGATTTTGGCGTATGCCAACTAACGCTCTCCCTGCAGTTACCAGGCCCGGTTTGGGCGTTCGGACTTCAGGGACTTCTCCCAGCAGGCAGTCTGCAAGAAATATTTACCAGGGTAGACATGGGCTGCTCTGTGCCAGCTGGCTTCAACATCCAAAGATGTTTCTGGGCACATTTAAAATGCCAGTCTGGACATAACCCCAGCCTAGGATACCTCCAGGATGGATTTTGTTGCCTCCACGTTTCATAGCCAGGTAGAGCATCAAGGGAAGAACCAAATAGGCAGACAAACTGAGTCAGGACAGTCTGAAACAGTCACAGGGCAGCCCATAAAAATGCTATACAAAGAAAAGCTTTAGTCTTGCTTCCCAGATTAATAGGAGACTGGCTCCACAAAAACATCAGGGACTTCTAGCAGCATCCTCACTGCATTCCTATACTTCCATAGGAGACAGACATGATCAAAAACTGTACCAGCACATCACGTTACTGAAAAGTTCAAGCTTCATTCCAAAAAGAAGTGCCCTTAATAGAGCTAGCCTGTTTCTGTCTGAGTTTAGGCTGGATGCATGCCTTGCAGTCTCACATGGCAGCAGTGACACCCTGCTGAGCTCTGCACAGACACTGCAGGCACTAGTTTGAAATCTAACTGAGCCAGGAAAAGACTGAGGTAAGAAATCTTCCTCTTGGGAGCTGAATCAGAGCAGAAGTAGATGCCTACTATATCCAGCTGCTAAACGGAGAGCTGCAACTGCTGCTGCATGCACTCTTCCACTGCTCTTGAAGGATTTTGGTTGACAGAGGCAGGTAGCCACCACCTCTTGCTGCTTTAGAGTGGAAATTGGCTTGAAAAAGTACTTTTCCGCTTCTGTCTGCTAACCCTGGCAGAAGAGATCTTTAGCTAGGAAATGAAGCTGTTGCATACTTCTTGCTAAATAAAATGGTACCTTTTACCATTACAGAATCATTTGCTTTACTGCTTAATCTATTGAGAAGATGTAATAAAATACTCGGCAAAACCTCACTTTTTTCCAATGACATAGCAGTAAGTCAGTGCACTGAACTATTTCACGCATCACAAATATTGAGAGAAGTACGACTAGGAAGGCTCCAACTAGTAGTAGGTCAAGGGTCTACAGAGATAAAAAAAAGAAATGTGGTAGCTATTTATAAGTAACGTACAGATATGTCTGATATTAAGCAGAATAACCAGAAGCAAGGACCCAAAGCATCCATAAAGATGGTAAGTTACATAAACCACATTTAAGAGCCAAAAAACATTAGATCCGCTCATCCAAACAGTTGAGCGACATCCTAATTTTCATATTAGAACTCACTGGAGGTGACCTCTTCAAAGCTCACCATAACATATACATGTGAAAGTGTCAACTCTCACTGGCAAATATCCAGATTTGTCTCTTTTTGTTAGTGCGCTGTTTGCATTTTGCCTTCAGAAAACAGTCTGTGGAGAAGAAACATTTTCTCCCTGGCGATGGACCTAGTCCTGGGAGGTGATTAGCAACCTCAGCTCCCACTCATCTGGAAAGAACAGCTACCATTTCAGTGGCTCTACCGACCAAGGAATGTCTTGATCTGTTAAAACTAATCCTATTTCTAAAATTGGATAGATATATGAGTGCACTGAATATATTAATCTGGCCTAAGTCAGTAAGTATTCACATTTGCCAGTATATCCTCTTCCTCATGATCATTCCTGTAGTTTTATCACCTCATTTCTCAATGAGGTTTTCATTTGTCTGCAGTTCCTCCCCTTTTCATAGCAGCTGTGACAATAACAGCATTTGCTAGTTCAAATCCTAAGTTTTGCTCTATTTCTTTCCTTTGGGTACATTCCCAACCGCCATAAAAACTGTATTGCAGCACTTCATTATGTTCTGTATCTTTATGCTCACAACCATACTATTAATGTCCACCTAACGTTTGGGGAAGCGAGGCACAAAGGAACAAAATCACCTTCCAGAGTCACCCGGGAGGTCTGTGGCAGAGCAGTGCCCTGAACTTGGGATTTCAAACCCCAGGCCACTGTGGTAGCCCTCAGATCAGCCCTCACCATCTCTAGACCTATCATTTAATCTTAACTCTTTTAGTAGGCCTAAATATATGATATTAAGTATAGCATTTAGCATAAGGTAACATAGGAAACAGCATATGATAACTTTAGAGATAAAATAATTATATAAATGTTAATTTGGCAGTTAGAAATAACTTGGAGGCAACATATGCTGGTTTAGCTAAAATTAGGTTAACAGGAAGACAGATGACTGACACACAAAGGAGATGAGAGACAGAAATGAACCACCGCTTACAATGTGCAGAAATATTGGAAAAATAACTTGATCACAAACTGGTCAACAGATACAATTTTTACTTTATTCAGATTAAGATAAAATGGTATTACCATAGCCAATGGTAATAGTACTTATACAAATTAAGATAATTTTATGCAGACTAGGACAATAAATAAAGGGTCTGCAAAGAGATAGTGTTCTTCTGGTACTGAAACCTATGCCAAAGTTTCATTTGTAGACACAATGAAACCTTCTTTGAGACTTAACTTCCAGTTTAGTGTTCTTTAAGGTCAACCATTATTCTTGAATGTATTCTTTCTTCTTACATTTATCTGTATTTTAATTTACCATCCTTATAATCAACAATCGCATACATGCCATATCATTGTAGCTCAACAATCTTCTACCTCATAGCTGCATTGTGTTGTACTTCATTATATTACATACCTCAAATTTGCAGTAACACTAAAAATTGAAATGAAATAAAAGAAATCAATTTCTTTGCGGGGAGTTTGAGGAGGAAGACCTTCAACTCTGCTGGTTCCCCCAGTCTGGGGATGGTCGGGGGGCATCAAAGCATCCCCTTTTTTTCCCTCAGTTGCTTATCTTGAGACAGTTGCACTGTTCATTTACTGCAAACAACAATCTCTGTGGGCCACTGAAAATATCTGTATTAAGCACCATGATTTCTCTTTTCCATTTTGTCTTGTTTGTCAGAGGGAGCTGGGACAATCTGGTACTAAGAGTACAGAACCAGAGAAGACAGATTGCAGTACCACGTTAACGGATCTTTCCCCTCTGATGGTTCTTTGCACTTCCTCGTCTGAAGCAGCTGCGTTATTTTTACAAGATTCAGAACAAGATATTTCACACAATGCTGAACTAGAAGAGAGCAGAAAAGACTACTGTGGAGAAATAGGCACGCAATCATTCAAATTTTTGTTGGGGACGGGAGGAAAAGAGGGACCAAACCTCAGCATCCTGACATATATAGGAAAATGAGAAAATCCTTCCCCCACCTTCCAGCCCCAGAATCTTTCATTCCTTCAGGCAGCGTTTCAGTTTGCAAAAAGAATGTGAAAACTCTTTTCCCCACTCCTTTGTCCTATTTATTAACCAAACCCTGCCAAGGCACCATCACATCAGCCTTTCTATTACAAAATAGAAGTATAGTATGGGATGAGGAGACACAAATTACAGTCTAAGAACAAACTCTGGAGAAATACAATGGTAATTCCTTGCCCCTGCACACGACTGGGAGTGTGGGAGGATCGCAAGATCTTGCTACTCTTTATGTCCGAATTCTAACAATTACAAGCTGAAGTGATCAAGTAAGAGGAGATTACTTAGCTGCAACTGCGAGATCTCAAGACTGGGAGAGATATCAGGAAGGACAGCAAATTGAGAGGTCTGGCTATATAAGATGTAGCAATAATGGGTCTAGTGGACAAAACATGCCAGGCCTTCCCTTGGCACATTTTTGGAATTAGATGTGTAATTTTAACACCTGTTCAAGAATCAATTTTTATGTGTCCATAACACATCCAAAAAAGTAACGTTGGTAGGGTTTGCATATCCTCATCTACTTGTGGTTTAACATGTTCTTTTTCATCAGCCAAACCCACATTTTTCCTTCATTTTCTACAAACCCTCCCTTATACTCTTGGCACGGTGTCACAGTGACCTTCTGGGGTAAAAGAGAGTCAAAGATTTCCTCATTGTAATCTATCAACGTTGTTCCCGTATCAGCCTAAAGGCTTGCTTCAGGGCAACCTAAGAGATTGCCTGGCTGCCTGAATCACTTCCACGACACTTCCAACCTCTGGGAAAAGAGCTTAGGTTTCCTACGCAGCAATGCAGTGTGTGCAAACTTCTCTTAGTTTAAATTAGAGGCAAAAAAAAAAAAAATCTAAAACATTTACCTCTGCAAGCAGTTCATGTAATTGTGCCTCAGTCGGGTAGCAACCCAGTGACCTGACAATTGCACCAATCTCTCTGAAAGAAAGAGCATCTCTGTTGGTAAATCTGCAATACGAGAGTGTCTGCAGAGAATCCAGTCATCAATTCAGAGCTTGTAAGCAGCTGTGTGCATGTACTTATGCACAAGCATATTAATGTGGACTTTTAAGACGATGTCTTAATAAGTAATGTCAATTTTTACATATATTAATATCTTGAAAATTTTGGAAGAGTATAATTGTTCTTGTAGTTTTTCTCTCAAATTTCTTCTTTACCATTGTGTTGCAGTATCTGCAGGTTGCTTTTCAGTTGCTGTCCTCTAATTCCGCCATGCTTAATTTCAGCAAAGTCTGTATTTACACAGTTAATAAAACACTTTGAAATCTACTGAGATGAAAGGTAACAAATAAAAATATATGTTTACATTAAACGCTACAAAAATACAAATGCTAACTGCAGTAGGGAACTATTACAAAAGGTCAAGAACGGGGACAGCCCTGCTGTGTTCTAACAGTTGCTCAGACCAACATACTGGTTTATTGCCCCCCT